TGCTGCGTCCTATGTTAATATGTGGTCAGTGTGGCTGAAATGAAAGAATGCATGCTGCGTCCTATGTTAATATGTGGTCAGTGTGGCTGAAATGAAAGAATGCATGCTGCGTCCTATGTTAATATGTGGTCAGTGTGGCTGAAATGAAAGAATGCATGCTGCGTCCTATGTTAATATGTGGTCAGTGTGGCTGAAATGAAAGAATGCATGCTGCGTCCTATGTTAATATGTGGTCAGTGTGGCTGAAATGAAAGAATGCATGCTGCGTCCTATGTTAATATGTGGTCAGTGTGGCTGAAATGAAAGAATGCATGCTGCGTCCTATGTTAATATGTGGTCAGTGTGGCTGAAATGAAAGAATGCATGCTGCGTCCTATGTTAATATGTGGTCAGTGTGGCTGAAATGAAAGAATGCATGCTGCGTCCTATGTTAATATGTGGTCAGTGTGGCTGAAATGAAAGAATGCATGCTGCGTCCTATGTTAATATGTGGTCAGTGTGGCTGAAATGAAAGAATGCATGCTGCGTCCTATGTTAATATGTGGTCAGTGTGGCTGAAATGAAAGAATGCATGCTGCGTCCTATGTTAATATGTGGTCAGTGTGGCTGAAATGAAAGAATGCATGCTGCGTCCTATGTTAATATGTGGTCAGTGTGGCTGAAATGAAAGAATGCATGCTGCGTCCTATGTTAATATGTGGTCAGTGTGGCTGAAATGAAAGAATGCATGCTGCGTCCTATGTTAATATGTGGTCAGTGTGGCTGAAATGAAAGAATGCATGCTGCGTCCTATGTTAATATGTGGTCAGTGTGGCTGAAATGAAAGAATGCATGCTGCGTCCTATGTTAATATGTGGTCAGTGTGGCTGAAATGAAAGAATGCATGCTGCGTCCTATGTTAATATGTGGTCAGTGTGGCTGAAATGAAAGAATGCATGCTGCGTCCTATGTTAATATGTGGTCAGTGTGGCTGAAATGAAAGAATGCATGCTGCGTCCTATGTTAATATGTGGTCAGTGTGGCTGAAATGAAAGAATGCATGCTGCGTCCTATGTTAATATGTGGTCAGTGAGGCTGAAATGAAAGAATGCATGCTGCGTCCTATGTTAATATGTGGTCAGTGAGGCTGAAATGAAAGAATGCATGCTGCGTCCAATGTTAATATGTGGTCAATGAGGCTGATATGAAAGAATGCACAGAGAATTTAGACTGTCTAAGTATTACATGTTACTTTTAATGTAGAATTGACATGTCAAAAAGCGATCATTCCCACCAATGATTTGTGATTACTCGCTCGAATGTGTTGGTGAATTTACCAATTAAATTATACGCTAGTCTGTATATGAGACTTTCCAGCTAAAATATTTGCTATTGTGTATATGAGACTTTCCAGCTAAAATATTCGCCATTGTTTATATGAGACTTTGCAGCTAAAATATTTGCTATTGTGTATTTGAGAATTTTCAGCTAAAATATTTGCCATTGTGTAGATGAGACTTTGTAGCTAAAATATTCGCCATTGTTTATATGAGACTTTGCAGCTAAAATATTCGCCATTTTATATGAGACTTTCCATTTAAAATATTTGCCATTGTTTATATGAGACTTTCCATTTAAAATATTCGCCATTTTATATGAGACTTTCCAGCTAAATTATTTGCCATTGTTTATATGAGACTTTCCAGCTAAAATATTTGCCATTGTGTATATGACACTTTCCATTTAAAATATTTGCCATTTTGTATATGAGACTTTGCAGCTAAAATATTCGCTTTTGTGTATATGAGACTTTCCATTTAAAATATTTGCCATTGTGTATATGAGACTTTCCAGCTAAAATATTCCACATTTATGGATATGAGACTTCTCAACTAACATGTTCGCATTTACGTATATGGTGTCGTTACAACTAATATATTAGCATTATGTATAAGAGACTTTACAACTAAACTATTCGCATTTATATCTTTAAAGCTTTTCAAAAAAAATATTCACATTTATGTATATATAGATATATGATACTTTACAACTAAAATATTGACTACTGATTCATGACCATCATTAATAAATGCTAAAACTTCTCAAGTGCTATTATGACTAAGCCTTGTTGGATTTATTGAGCCAATTGTTTTCACTTCGTGCAATGCATTCAATAGCATTTGTTTAAAATCACTTCAAACATCAACTGCCATGATTCTCAGAAGGAAAGACCTATACAGAAAGAAGCCTAACAGCAGGGTTGCAGGCGACCCAATTAGTTAAATATCGTGTGCCCCCTCAGCCAGATTTCTCCACATGTCTCCCCACACATCAGCCAAATGTCTCCACATGTCTTCCCACACATCAACCAAATTTCTCCACATATCATACACAACCTGCAAGACATGCTATCATATACTATCGGCAAGACGTGCTATCATACACTTCCTGCAATACATGCTATCATACACTACTAGCAAGACGTGCTATCATACACCACTTGCAATACATGCTATCATACACTACTAGCAAGACGTGCTATCATACACCACTTGCAAGACGTGCTATCATACACCACTTGCAAGACGTGCTATCATATACCACTTGCAAGACGTGCTATCATACACCACTTGCAAGACGTGCTATCATACACCACTTGCAAGACGTGCTATCATACACCACTTGCAAGACGTGCTATCATACACCACTTGCAAGACTTGCTATCATACACCACTTGCAAGACGTGCTATCATACACCACTAGCAAGACTTGCTATCATACACCACTTGCAAGACTTGCTATCATACAACACTTGCAAGACTTGCTATCATACACCACTTGCAAGACGTGCTATCATATCTCATGTTAGAAAATCACGTTAGAAAGTCATGTCAGAAGAGGCTGACGTCACACCTTAATCACTTCAAAGGCGCATTTCATTTTAATTTTTTATTATTCCGCTCTTTTCCAGAAGTTTTGTTTTAAGGTTATGAACATGGCGTGGTCCGTGGTTGCTAGTTGCACTCTATGGAAGTCAGTTGCAATCTCTATGGTAGTCAGTTGCACTCTTAGGTCGGTGGTTGCACTCTGTGGTCGTTTGTTGCACTCTATGGCAATACATGCCTTTATGGTGTGCAACCTGTGCCCTCACACAGGGTGCCGTGGCCATGGGGCGACTGGGGCGCCCAGTAAATATTTAAATTCCCTTAGTTTACTATATAGTAAAGTGTGAAGCACCGTAATGAAACTAAAAAGTCCAAATTAATGTGCATGTTAAAATACGTATGGTTAGCTACATGTATAGCGTCATAACACATGCTCCATAGTATGGTTAGCTACATGTATAGCGTCATAACACATGCTCCATAATATGGTTAGCTACATGTATAGCGTCATAACACATGCTCCATAGTATGGTTAGCTTCATGTATAGCGTCATAACACATGCTCTATAGTATGGTTAGCTACATGTATAGAGTCATAACACATGCTCCATAGTATGGTTAGCTACATGTATAGCGTCATAACACGTGCTCCATAGTATGGTTAGCTACATTTATAGAGTCATAACACATGCTCCATAGTATGGTTAGCTACATGTATAGCGTCATAACACATGCTCCATAGTATGGTTAGCTACATGTATAGCGTCATAACACATGCTCCATAGTATGGTTAGCTACATGTATAGCGTCATAACACATGCTCCATAGTATGGTTAGCTACATGTATAGCGTCATAACACATGCTCCATAGTATGGTTAGCTACATGTATAGCGTCATAACACATGCTCCATAGTATGGTTAGCTACATGTATAGCGTAATACACATGCTCCATAGTATGGTTAGCTACATGTATAGCGTCATAACACATGCTCCATAGTATGGTTAGCTACATGTATAGCGTCATAACACATGCTCCATAGTATGGTTAGCTTCATGTATAGCGTCATAGCACATGCTCCATAGTATGGTTAGCTTCATGTATAGCGTCATAACACATGCTCCATAGTATGGTTAGCTTCATGTATAGCGTCATAACACATGCTCCATAGTATGGTTAGCTACATGTATAGAGTCATAACACATGCTCCATAGTATGGTTAGCTACATGTATAGAGTCATAACACATGCTCCATAGTATGGTTAGCTACATGTATAGAGTCATAACACATGCTCCATAGTATGGTTAGCTTCAAGTATAGCATCAAAACACATGCTCCATAGTATGATTAGCTTCATGTATAGCATCAAAACACATGCTCCATAGTATGGTTAGCTTCATGTATAGCATCAAAACACGTGCTCCATAGCCTACATCGTTAAAATATATCCATCTCAGTCCGAAGAAGGTTCAACTACAGGTGTTGTAAAAGCAGCGCCACCAGCCGACCAGGTGTTCCTTGGTTGATGCCGCCCCACCCGCATAGTCAGTCGAGTGGAAGGCGGGTGGCGCTGTCTCAGAGGTGGAAAACCTCCAATGTGCCGCTTTGTGGCCTACCTAGTTAGGCTATTTGGGTGGGGGGTGGGGGGTAAGTTGGGAAAGACCTAATGAGCTCTAGCTCGACGGTATCAGATCATTACTGCGCCCGCCCCAAAGTATCACAATACAATTTATTTCCTTATTCGTTTAGTGATTATTTCCATGTCGACATAGACACACATGTGAGATATGTATACCCGGCACCATATTTTTAA